CTACACTTCCTTCTTGTATTTTACTTAAATTTTTTTCCTTTTTCAAAGCAAATTAAACAAACTTTACTTCTACTTTGACTTAGCCTTGAATGGCATTTCAAAGGTGAAATAATAATTAATATTTAAATTTTCAAAGCACAACTAACGCTATTACAAACGCAACGTATAACAAAACACAAATTACAATAATGCATAAAAATTAAAACTCGTTAAAACTAAAAGTGGTTTTTAATTAACCGATTTCAAGTATTTTAGCAATAAAGAATGATTTTGAGGGTTATTTAAATTGACGTAATACAAATTAAAACAGTAGTTTGTAAAAGTAAAACATGTAACGTTTTATAAACTCGCTTTGGTAAAACATACAAAAGAATATTTAAAAATTTCTATATATAATTTATTGTGAAAAGTTAGTTTGTAAAATATGAAACAGTTATTATTAACTTGTAATGTTAAATATCACTAAAAACTGCAACAAAAAACTAAAATCTTATTTTTATTTGTGTCCCAGTGATCGGGCCCAATCATATTTAAGCTCTAAGAACACGCCCCTAACGTAACGTCCTTAAAAGGTTTATGAATTTTTTTTTTTTTTTTCATATTTATTAGAGTCAAAATTTATCGACAAATTATAAATATCATTCAAAAAAAATATGCCATTTAAAAGTTGTGATCTTTTAAAGTAATTTTTTGGAGTTAATTGGGGAATAAAAAACTAAAAACAATAATAACATTTGAAAGAGAAGAGGTTTTTGTATGAAAATTTAAATCTGTCGAATAATTTTAATTTAGTTAAAGATATTATAAAAAAAAAAATATTTTTTTTCATGAAACTATATATGGGACACAAGGACCCAAGTTTTAGGTTTAATATTGTTTCCAGTCTCCGATTGTCGCAACTTTTTCTAAAACATTCTTATTTTGCATTAGTATGATTATTACAAAATTTTATGAAAGCACCATTTCTGGAAGTTATCTATCTTAAATACTAACAATTCTGAACCAGCTTGTTAAACCCCTTTTATTTTTTTTAGATATCGACAGAATATTTTTAAAGTCTAGGTCATAAGAGAACAAGGTACGGAGGTTTTGAAAATGTAATCCATTTCTGGTGTACTTTTTTTTTCGTAAGAAATATTTCCACTAGGATGTGCATTATTACATAAAGTGTTGCAATTAGTGACAGGGACACAAACTGCCTTCTCGCGATGTGACTGATTGTGATACTTATCCATGTGTCTTTTAAGGTTCCACAAATTGCAAAACGAACTAGTACACTTAGCCTGACAACAGCGAACAGGCATTCTTAATTCACCAGCAGCTTCATGATTACGAAGATGAGAGTGTAGCTCTTTAACTTTAAAAA